AAGCAAGGACAAGCATGTTAGCATTGGTCTTGTCACTTTACTTAAAAAGCAAGAAAGAGTGCAAAAGGTCAAAAACTTGTGCAGCTAGTAAGGAGTGGACTTTGTATCATTCCTATACAAATATACAAACATTGTGCAACGCAAAACACGATTGCTTGACATCTGAAACTCATTCAAACTCAAAAACTCCTTTTTTCTGCCAAAACACACAGTTGCTGCAGAATCATAGCCATTTCATTTTTGGCTCGTGCGTTTTACATTTTAACATTTGAAACACTTCATACACATCATACCAAAGCAGTCCAAGCATTCATCCTGCATTTGTAATCCTTGTTTCATCCATTGCCATTTTCAAACTTGGAGCTTGCAGCTTGACTTTTGCAGAGACTTCTGGCCATCCACAAAGCAAGCTAGGCATTGGAATAGCTTGAAGGAAGTTCAAGGAAGCTCACACAATCCTTAGGCCTCCATTAAAGTCCCTACATTGCTCTACTCAAATCCAACTGAAGGAGGTATTTTTCAAAACTCTATCTCTCTGAATAAGCATCCTCAAGCCACGATTTGTGAAGAAAAAATGTAGTCCATAACATGGTGAAGCTGTACATATGCATACTTTTCATTTATATTAACTATGCTGTGAGAATTTGAAGCTTGAAGTTCATGAAATTTTTAGGTCACGAATTGGGGATCCCAAAATTCTCTCTGATCTTTGAGAGTTAGGTTACAAATTTTATATGGTTGAAATCGTGAGATTAAATACCACAAGTTTCATGTTATAAGTTTTTGTTTTTATGCAAGCATTAGCAAGTTACAGATTTGAAGGAAAAACGCGCGCAAGGAAGAAGCTGGAGGACAGGGATGAAGTTATGGGCCTTTGGCGCCTTGGGCTTGTTGCTTTTGTTATTCACACCCCCTGCCTTGATATTTGCACCCCCTAACTTATTTTGTTATATTTTTCATATTTTCTCATATTTTTATATTTATTGCTTTTAATTATTTTTTTCTGAACATTAAAAAATCATAAAAAATAATTTCTTTATTTTTGCAATTTTATTTTATTTTTTTCATTATTTTTTGCATAAAAAAATAATTTATTAGGATAATAGATTTTATTTTCTTAAATAAATTTGTAAATACATTTAATAATACTTACTATTTTTATTATATTATTTATACACATAAAATATTATTTTCTACACATACTTAATTTTTTTTAATATTTATATATAATATTATGTATTATTTTTCTTATACAAAAATGGATAAAATAATATTAGGAAAACTTTATTTTCTTTTAATAAAAAAATTAGGGTTTCATCCCTTCCCAAATATAATAATAATTTTTCTCTTATTTCTAGGGTTTAAATAAATTATTTTCTCATACATTAAACAAATACAAAATATTTTTTACATAAATACATTTGCATTGCATTTTAATATTTATATATTTATTTAATGCGCACAATATTCGATTGGATTGTAATAGTATTTTTAGGTTTATATTTGTGCAATATCCCCATTCAAAAACTTGTATCCCCCCTCCCATAATAATTGTTGTAATAGCTTAGTTTATTTTACGCAATTTATTGCTTTCATATACCATGTTTAGTAAACTAGGGTTTGCATGACAAGAACAAAAACAAAACAAATAGAAAAAACCTAATGCAAGACAAAAGCATGAAAATGACACACATTGCACACAAGCACCCTTAGGGTTTCTCCCACTTGGTTGCCTAAATAAAAATGGCCATGTTACGCACGCGAAGTATCTTGGCAAAACAAAACAAAATAAGATCATAGTCCCTCGATGACGCTATCAAAAGGTTGCCTAAACAAAGATGATCTTGGTCCCTCAAACATGCTAAGATACTTGGCAACATTGCTATCATGGTCATACGATGACCCACGCCCGTCCCGTTTACATCCAAAGATAGGGTTGTTTACCAAATCAATGGTAAATCAACAATGTCAAAGGAATAAAAATGCACAAGAAAGACATTTGAGTAGGTAGATAGCTTCTAGTTACTTGTTACATTTCAAAACAATCATTGCTATTTTCAAAAACAAACACACACACATTTCAAAACATCTTACAAAACATTGAAACATTTTTCAAAAGACAAACATCTTTGTATACATTCTTACGAACGAGAATCATTACAAAGATTGCCTAAACAGTGGCCTCTTTTACAAAATACTTTCAAAACCACATAAATCACCATTTCAAACAAAACAAAGCAAAGCAAGTGATCTAAACAAGTAACTAAGAGCCCATGGAAAACCATGGATGAAAAGGGTGCTAGCACCTTCTCTTTTCATAATCTACCCCCCGAACTCAAGAAAACATCTCAAAGGTCTTTCCTGTGCTTTTTTACCTTTCCTTTTGGATAAAAGAAAAGTCGGTGGCGACTCTTGCTAACCGCAACATTTACGAATACAAATGCAAAACCTTAAGTCAGTTCTCCCACCGCATCACAACCAGCATAAAACTGCTCTTGAAATATGCTCTCAAGTTGTTCCCAAGTGCGTATAGAATTTGGGGTCAATATTGTAAACCAAGTAAAATCATTTTTGGTTAATGAATTAGGAAAATATCTTAATTTTAAACCCTCATCATTGGCGATATCGCCAACTTCTTTTCATACCTAGCAATGTGTTAAATGGTCGACTCACTAGCATCACCAACAAACTTGGTAAACTTAGGTACCTTACACCCCCTAGGTAATTCTTCTTGTCGAATATAATTAGGTAAGGGAGATGAATAATTAGGCCTCCAAAGGTCAACATTTACCCCAAATCATGTTAATACTTCTTCTACTACATTCAATATGTTGTTACGCCCAACAATGACATTTCTTAACACTCGATCAACATCTTGGTTCCTTCTAACTACGACTGGCCTATGTTCATATTGTTCAACGAATTCTTCCTCTTCATAAGTGGGTACTTCCACCCTTCGAGGTCTAAAATGATGCTCATTGTTGCCTCCCTCTAGTTCTTCAAAAACTCTTAACGGCATGTGGCGCGTCTGAGTTTTGTTGGACCCCTAATGAGTCGATCAATCTGCCTATTCGATCAACTACAGGATTGAGGGCAACTCCCATTTGCCGAGTTAAGACATTTACTAACTCTAAATTACTCTCATCCATCTGTTTCCTTAAAGCCATAACAGAAGTAGTATTTAAAGATGGCGTCGACTGAGGGATGTAACCAACACCACCTGGTCGACCACTTGGGCCATAACTGCCTTGGTTTCCAGTGGCCACTGCGTTTTTTGTTTACATGAATGAGTTCGACTATAACCCAACCATCATGGAATAAGGCATATCGTATTGCTAAGGGATAAATGATGACTCTAGACCCCTGGAAAGAGTGGTCGATTTGGGTCAAATATTGATACCCTATGCCTAGGTTCTGTCGTCGTGATTGTTGTCACTAAACCATAATCAGGGGTCGACCTCACAGAAGATAAAACTGTCGCGCTTTGAGTTATGGAACTCACAGGTATGACATCCACATTTTGTGTAGAAATTTGTGTATGTGCAGTGTTCGTGTCAGAGCGTGACATTTTAGACTTTGACAAATGTCTACCACTTCTTAAATTCATACACACAAACTAAACTACAAGAAACTTTGTAAAATAAAACACACATACAAAATTATTAGCACTGTCCCACTCGGCGTGCCAATTTGTTTACCTCTGGTTTTGGTAAACAATACTGGTCTCTTACAAACAGTTTACTGGAAAAATCAACCAGGGAATCTCAGTACAGTGCTTCAGTTTTCAAGTGTTTTCACAAAGTATGTTCAAAAGGATTCGTTTGAATAGTGCCAAACGAGTTTATAAGCAATAAAGCAATGCTTGTAAAATAAAACAAATGGCGTTTAAATTGTAAACGTAAATGACATAACATCAAAATAGTTGAAAATAAGTTGATTCAAACGTACATTTATCTAACTTGACTCATTTCGCTCATTAGTTTGGGTACTCTGAGTGACTAGCATATAAGAATGTGAAAGTTTGAACTCCTAACACTATGCATTAAGTGCTTTATTTATAATACACCAAAATAACTACTTTATAGCGAAATTCACTTCTTCGTACGCCACATGTATCTTGTAACTCCTCTCCGTGATCCCACGTTCTCCATTCGTACTCTCGAATCCACGTTCTCCTTTCGTACTCTCGAACCCACGTTCTCCAAGTTTCCCTCCAAAACGTTTCACTTGCTCGATGGATCTTTGGGGCCTTTTGATGTTTCTAGGCCCAATGACTTATGAAGTCCTCCTTGTTCGACTGCTCCTGTTTTCAGACCCAATTGCTTACTTGTGGAATCTCTCCAGATCGACTGCATCAATAGTCAAATACTTTGTAGAATCTCTCTAAGTCTTAGCTCGACTACATAAGTAATCATGTCACATAAATCATCTTTTCTAATAGAACCCTTTTGATCCTTTTCTTTTGGTTGAATTTTGATCCTTGTCAAAAATCCCAGTCAACAACAGCAAATAAGTGATTTGGAACCTGTGCCGAATTTGAACAATTGACATAAGTAGAAGCAAAATTTAGGTTATTTAGTAGCACACTTTTTCTTTTTGCCTACATAACAATAAATGATTTTCGATCATATATAAAAAAACATTTTTATCACTCAAGAAACAATGTTTGGGCCAATCAAAAATAAGGATAAAAGGGTATTGTCCAAAGATCTTATTTTCTTATACGGTAGATGTAGTGTAAAATATACTGTATTTTAGTGGCATACTCCTTTTTCTGTTTAAGTTTAATTTGTTTAAATTATGTTCAATTGATTTAATTTATTTTCAGCCTTTTTGAATAAAATCCCTAAATCTCTCTCCGCTCTCTTTTCTGCACTTCCCAGTGAATCTTTCTTCAACAGCGCAGCCGCACGGAGTCTCGGTAAGCCATAGTTTTCACAGTTACAGGATTTTCTTTCTCCTTTAATTCTGTGTTTTCGTGTATACCCAAAACCCTAGAGATGAAGGGTGAAGGGGACGAACGAAGAAGTGAACGTCAGGTAGAAGTGTCGTCAGAGGAAGAAGGGCAGTTTGTCAGACATCGGGAAGAGAAAGAAGAAGGTAGAAAACGTGGTGACCGCCGTGGGAGTGACGAGGAAGACCGGCATCGCCGCAGAGAGAAAGATCGTGGTGGAGATTTGGATTTTGAGCACGAAGATGACAGGAAGAGGATTAGGGATAAGGATAGGGTTAGGAGACATAGAGAGGCTGGTAATGAGAAAGAGAAGGATAGCCGTCGTAGGTACAAAGAGGATTCAGATGATGGGAAGAGAATTAGGGATAGGGAAAGGAGGCATAGAGTTGATAGGGATAATGGTAATGAAAAGGAGAGGGAGAGAGGTCGTCGGAGTCGGTACGAGAATGATTCAGACGAGGAGCATGATAGGAAGCGGAATTGGGATAGGGAAAGGAGGCATAGGGTTGATAGGGACGGCGATCATGAGAAGGAGAGGGATCGGCGCGGTGACGAGGATAGAAGGAGGAATGGGGAGAGGGGCCAACGAGTTGAAAAGAATGGTGACAATGCGAGAGAAGAGAGTAGGAAGAAAGAGGAAGAACATGCGGTGATACCGGAACTCAATGGGGATGCATCTAAGTTAGGGAAAAGTGGCGGTGTTTACATTCCACCTTTTAAGTTAGCAAGGATGATGAAAGAAGTTGATGATAAAAGTAGTCCTGAGTATCAACGCCTGACTTGGGATGCTCTAAGAAAGAGTATAAATGGGCTGGTAAACAAGGTCAATGCTGCCAACATTAAGAATATAATTCCGGAATTGTTTGCTGAGAACTTGATTCGGGGAAGAGGGCTCTTCTGTAGGTCTTGTATGAAGTCTCAGATGGCATCTCCTGGGTTTACCGATGTGTTTTCCGCATTGGTTGCTGTTGTCAACACTAAATTTCCTGAAGTTGGGGATCTTTTGCTTAGAAGGATTGTTCTGCAGCTAAAAAGAGCGTATAAGCGGAATGACAAGGTATGTGTGTGTCTAATTAAGCACCCTGATGTGTTTTCCTTTACTGAGATCAATGTTATTGTACCAATTTTACTTTTATTTGGTTTCTAATTGGTTTTTTTATTTGGTTTCTAATTGGTTTTTTTATTGTCATTTGTAGCCTCAATTACTTGCTGCTGTTAAGTTTGTAGCACATCTGGTGAATCAGCAAGTGGCTCATGAGATCATTGCGCTAGAGCTGCTCACGGTTTTGCTCGAGAAGCCAACCGATGACAGTGTTGAAGTAGCTGTTGGTTTTGTCACAGAATGTGGTTCAATACTGCAGGATCTCTCACCTAGAGGACTTCATGGTGAGTATTCCCTTAACTATATGGTTATAGACTCACGGTTTTGATAGAACATCATGGTGTTGTTTAATCCATGTAAGCCAGCCCCAGTTATAGACTTATAATGTGCTTAGCTTTTGTATATATGATTAGCATGACCCCTGGTCTTTATTTTAAGTATTTATCACACTAATGAATCCTACCTTAAATTTATGATTTTGTAGGCATCTTTGAGCGTTTCCGGGGAATTCTTCATGAAGGAGAAATCGACAAACGTGTTCAATTTCTGATTGAAGGCTTATTTGCAATAAGAAGGGCAAAGTTTCAGGTACACTATTCTAGTGTTTGGGACATAAACAACACATTAACAGTGACATTGAATATCAACTATTTTTTAAAGCATTTTATAGGCATAATTTGAAATTGAAATGTTTGATGATTATTGTATTGCATTTTACAGGGCTATCCAGCTGTTCGGCCTGAATTAGACCTCGTGGAGCAGGAAGATCAGTTAACTCATGAAGTTTCCTTGGATGAGGAAATCAATGCCGAGACTTCCCTCGGTACATATTCTTTTTTTAAGTTTTTATTTATATACTTATATTAACTTGTGTTCATATTTCATTGTGATTTGTTTGTTTTCTGTTCTATTCTCTCAGATATATTCAAACCTGACCCCAATTATATGGAGAATGAAAAACGTTATGAAGAGTTGAAGAAATCCCTGCTGGGTGAGGAAGAGGAATCAGAGGGAGATGATGAAGGCTCGGATGCTGAATCAGATGAAGATGATGAATCTGATGAAGAGAACGAGGAAAGTATGCAGATAAAAGATGAAACAGAAACCAATCTTGTTAATCTGCGGAGGACTATCTATCTAACAATCATGTCTAGTGTAGATTTTGAGGAAGCTGGTCATAAGCTTCTCAAAATCCATCTCGAGCCAGGTCAAGAGGTAAGCATTTAATGAATATTCGCTGGAAATTTATTGTTCTGTTGCTAACACTATATCTACTTGCCAAAAGGTTATTTAAATAAATTGTGTCATTGATGCAGATGGAATTGTGCATTATGCTTTTGGAATGTTGCAGCCAAGAAAGAACTTACCTCCGATATTACGGTCTTCTGGGCCAGCGATTCTGCATGATTAACAAAGTGCATCAAGAAAATTTTGAGACATGCTTTGTGCAACAATATTCCATGATCCATCGACTTGAAACAAACAAACTGCGAAATGTGGCAAAATTTTTTGCTCATTTGCTTGGGACATTTGCTCTGCCTTGGCACGTCTTATCATACATTCGCTTGACTGAAGAGGACACAACTTCTTCTTCACGTATATTTATTAAGATTCTCTTCCAGGTACTTGAATCAAATTCAAATATTCAACTTTTTTGTACTTCCGTTGCATTATCACTTCAAGTTTTCCCAGTTTTAAACACATATTTTCTAGACTGCTTAAAATGTGATATAGGGATTTTGAATCTGTAACTGTGCTGTCATACTGCCATAGCACTTCCATAATTGCTCTTTGTAACAATAACATGGATTTGTTATAGGCAGCCTCACCATACATTCTGCAGAGGCTGATTTCTGAACTTCTGAGATCCTAGTCGCATGGCAGAAGTTCCAGCTTTTGCGTTAATACTCCTCTTCAAAAACACCCTAGACCAAATTCTATGCATGCTATAAGATTCAGCTGCTACTATCTTGTTATTTAAGATTAGTATAATTATAGAATAAGCAATCTAGATGACAATATGTTATTTAAGATTAGTATAATTATAAAATAAGCAATCTAGATGACAATATGTTATTTAAGACAAGTGCACTAGATCAAGTTTACACTGTAGTGTTGCTCTAGGGCAGCCAAATATATTGCAGCCAAGTAATTACTGCCACTGGTTTTCCATGGCAACATGTTTTTCTGTTTAGCATATCGAGGCTGCTATTGAGGCTGTTTACAGTATGAAATGTCGCCACTGCACTGATGGCAGCTTCTGCCCTGCAGACACAAGTTTAAAAACCGAGTTTTGCCTTCTCACCCTTATCTCTAGGAAGTATTGTGATTGTCTGTTCATTTTGCATCCGAAGTACTTTTTTAGATTCAGGACACTAAGATAATATAGCCCTTTAATGAAAACCCATTTCCACATTTTCCCCAACTTCACCCCATTGATTATTTTTTTGGCTAGGTTCCTTTGTGCCTGCCGTTATGTATCTTGCGTGCCTATTCAAGCAGGTCTATGGTTTTTTTGGCTAGGTTCCTTTGTTTGCCTGCTGTTATGTATCTTGCGTGCCTGTTCAAGCAGATCCATGGTCTTTTAGCAGGCCATTGTTTTCTAGCCGTGTTACTCAGTGCAAGCCAACACTGAATAGCACCTCATCCTCATCCTCTTGTTCACCGGTAAAACCGGCTTGTGAATGTCTAAGATTTAGTTTGTGTTTATTAGAAAATTAAAGTGATTTGGTTTCTTTCCTCTATCATATGCTATAGCAGCCACAATGCAATTTGTCACACTGCCATAGTAGTTAGGATATTAGTTGTTCTTCACCAAGATGGTGTTTTTTTGCACATTGCATGAGATATTGGTGGTGATCCATGATGGATGTGAAAAACATGATGTGATATCTTCATCAGGCCTTGTGCCCTTAACATTTTCAACCCTTCTTGCAGCATGCTTTATAGATATTTATATCTTATGCAAGGTTGTTACTTGTGGGTAACTTATTCTATTTGCTCTTGTATATAATCTGTGCGATGTACTGTACTGTACTGATGATTTATTCATGTCTCTCTGTATGGAAGATATTGATTTCATTTTTCAACGCTACAGGAATTGTCAGAGCATCTTGGCATTCGGTTGTTAAATGAGCGGTTAAATGATCCAACAATGCAGGACTCTTTTGAATCCATATTTCCCAAAGATAATCCTAAAAACACACGATTCTGCATTAACTTCTTCACATCCATTGGACTTGGTGGTCTTACTGAGAATCTACGTGAGTATTTGAAAAATATGCCACGTCTGATCATGCAACAACAGAAGCAAGTTCTGGATTCTGACTCAGATAAGGAATCTGCAAGCTCCGGTTCATCAGATTCGGGATCCAGTTCTGAGTCAGAGTCTGACTCGGCAAGTTCTGATGAAAGTGATAGAAAAAGAAGTAAGCGTAGAAGAAAATAAAGCATTGTATGCTATTGTCAAAACCCCTTGCATCAACAAACCTGTGGTTGGAGAATCCATGGTTTCACAACCTTCATGTCAGTGAATGAACTTGCCTCTTTAAATGTTTTCAGGAAGGGAAAATGTGCTCTGCTGGTTTAAAGGGATGTAAAATTTGTTTACCGGATAGTTTGTCTGCTTGGAGATGATTACCTATCTAATGTGGATTTATTACTTTGTTCCTGAGATCATACTTTTTAGTTTAAACCTCTGGCTTTGAATTTTTTTATATCAAAACCTTCAGATTAGAAGCTTTAAGCTGTGGAAACTGTAGGTACAATGGTAATTAAGATGCTCCATGGTGTTTTTTTCTTTTCAAAATGTTTGAATTGAGTTTGATAGTTATTTATTATCCAAGGGATTCATTGCTCAGTAGCAATAGCTACTGATGCACACTTGGTACCGTAAAATTTTGTATTTGGATTGTACTTCTTGACTCTACCTGTCACAGTATTGTCAAATTTTGTTGTCTGGATGATGCACGTGCCTATATTACATTACAATTATCTGGTTTTCATTTACATATATTCTATATATTAAGTTGTCGGATGTATTGAGTTTTACTGGTGATATTTTAGTTTTACTGTGAATAGGAGATAATCACATGATATTTGAGTATTTGTACTGTTTTTGTTCAGCACTAGCATCGTGTACAATGTATAGTCTTCTAGAAATTGGGTTTGTTCTAAAGTGCTAAAGTGGAACTTTAGATTCTAAAATCCACTTATGCTGGTAAAATGAGTGGATTTGGATAAAAATATAATTTATTAAGGGGATTTCTTAACCCATTCAATAGTTTTCTAGTGTACCACGCGAAAATATTAAAATGTCAATGGAAAAGGGAAATGTATTTCTGGTATGCACTAAAATCTAGATTTTGGTGGACGAGATCCTATGTATTAATTGAAAGCTAATTGGAAATACAACTACTAACTGTATTTCTGGAAGCGTTTCAAATGCATACAATTTTTAAGACTGAGAAATTCAAGCTAACAAGTAGATGAGAACCAGAAATGCATTTACGCTTGGAATCGTAATTGTATTTTAGAGTCGTGTTGACACTTAAACGCGCACTGTCTCTTCCGCTTTCTCATTTTCAGAAATAGTTTGAAAAGAAATACAAACACAAAAATCCAACCCTCTCAAACCCTATTGTATCAAAATCAATCTATTTCGCGAAAAGTTCATCAAAAATCGTCAAACATCACTTGCACTTCAGTGTTCAAGCATATTTAAGCAAGAAAAATCATCATTTGTAAGTTGTTTTGGAGTTTTTTTTTTGAAGTTTATGTAATTTCACCTACAACTTGTGTTTTAAGGTAGTAAATTCAAGTTTTTTTTTTTAGTGTTTGCAATGTTAGGAGTCATAAGAAACATGTTAGGTATGTCTTTTTTATGATCAATGACCGTTTTGTTGAGGCCATTGTGGGTGAGCTTCGTCATTGACGAAGTTGTAAAGTTGCAGGTTGTAATGGATATGCATTTTCGATTTTGTTCAACGTTTATATAAAAAATCAGAATTGTATATTCAGTTATAGTCTGTCTGCGTTTTTCCATTTTTTGAATCCGAGTCTTATTATTAACGTTTGTTTCTTTCTTCTACAAGAGTAATGACTGAGAGACCACCTAGATTGAGACACGACAGACTTGTACAACATACTTCTGTGCGGAGGAAAAAGAGTCAGATATCACAGGATCTTTCTGCCTCTGGACATGTTGTGCCAGATGCGTCTACATCCTCCAGTATTCCTGTTTCTACATCTACTTCATCGTCCTCTCACAGGAGGCGAGGTTTTTCAATTCACCTTCATATATGTATTCTGATTACGCATGAACATTTACGCAATTCCATAGAATATTTTTCAACCCTATAAAATAAGATAAGAAATTCCCATTATTAATCGGATAACAGTCCATTAAAAAATCTTTTAGAAAATCTATCCATTAAACATAAATTTATCCGATCAATCTATTAAGTGTTAATATTTTTGGCACATTCATCAATCATTATGAAGGTTGTCCAGTATCATGAATTCTCGCTTGTGGCTTGCAATCCAACCTTTTGAGAGTGAAGAGAAAATTTTGATGTGTCCTAGAATGCTACTCAACATGCAAGCTTGTCTTTGAGCTATTTAATCAAATATAATCACGAGCTATCTATGGATCACTTTGTTTCAACTTTAAAAAATGATTTTTTTATTTATTTTTGAAAATAGATTTTACAAAATTATTTTTTAAAATATTATAAATTTATATATATATATATATATATATATATATATATATATATATATATATATATATATATATATATATATATATATATATATATATATATATATATATATATATATATATATATATATATATATATATATATATATATATATATATATATATATAAAATTAAAACACTAATTTTGATATCATGTAACATAAATACACATTATTAAAAATTAAACTATAATCAAAACCTTAATTTTTAAAAAACATTGTATTTCATAAAAGATTTTTATAAAAATCTATTTAAAATAGATTCAAAATTAAGTAATTTTTATTAAAATTTTGATATTTATTTATTTTTAATAAAAAGATGAAATATTTAAAATAATACTTTAAAAGTAATTATTCAAATTAAATTTTCATTTGAAGTTTTTATTAAAAAATTTTTTATAATTTTTTTACACAATTGTTAAACTATAAAAATAATTAAAAAAAAAATAGCAAAACAAACTGACCCGGTGCGAATTATCTATCTATATATTGTGTATTGCAGTAATCATATCTAGCCTTAGGGAGCCACCATAAGTTGTGGAGATAAATAAAATCTTGAGGCGATTTTGACAAGGTTGAAACATGACTTTCTTCCAAATTCTCACTACAAAGGGGCAATGAATAAAAAAAAAGTGTGTAGATGTCTGGGCTTGTGCCACAAATCGAGACATGATACCATGCATTTTCCTTAAATTGTTTCGTCACATGGGGGTTTTCCATGGATGACTCTCCAAATAATGCAAGATGGGGATGGTGGGGGTGAAATTCTACCAAATGAATTTTGTCCAATCTATTGTTTTATAGGCTCCAAAGGTATTTGTATGTATCCATTGCCAGGGGAGTGTGGAAAAGTCGGTAGTATTAACGAAATTAATGTTTCAGAGCCACAAGAGAGAGATGTCACATCTCAACCCAAAATTTTAAGGTGTTAGAAAAATGAGTCATCTCTTATAAATTTAATATTTCACCTATTCATAGACAATCTGAGACTTTAACCACTCACACTTGCACCCAACATTATTTCTCATAAGTGTGACTTTTTCACATTCTATAACAGGATCCAACACTAGATCTATCTCCCGCTCCCATATTAAGCAAAACCACGACTCTAATATCACTATTGGGGAAGTCCGATGAGCGAGATCGGAAATTGTTAATGTGTCAAACGTTCACGGTTTTAAGAGACCTTGACACCACATATCCATCCAAAACCTTAAGTCAATGGAGGTATGAGCCACCTCTCTTATAAATCCAACATTTTTTTCATTCTTAGTCGATATGGAACTTTTAACACTTTTACACTTGAAACTCTACAATCTCTCCCACAAGTGTGAGTCACCCACATCACTAGCCTTGATCCACACTAGAATCCACTTTTTTCTCCCCACTTGTTAGGAAGAAATAAAGCATAAAGAAAAAGGAGGAACACAATAAAAACACAAGAGGTTAACGTGAAAATTCTAAAACCGAAGAAAAAACCACGGCCGTTGTCAAATGACAACCAGAGAATAACACATGTGAAAATTGTTACAACACATATACTATCCTCAACCACTCAAAGAAAATTGTTACAACACATATACTATCCTCAACCACTCAAAGACCCCAATACATCTGTACTCTACAAAGCAAATATTTAACTACCCTTCACAACCCTTTAACACAAGAGTATTATAGATAATATAAATAGTCAAATACAAGTTTAAAGGGCTTTTGACTGGTACATCTTAGAACGAAGAACTTTAATCCTATATATAATATTGGACTCCCTCTTCCTTCACAGAACTAAGCGATATGGAACTTTGAAGAATTTGATTCATGTATATCACAAAACTAAGCAATGTGATACTTCTTCAACATGTCTATTTTTAACCAACCCCAATAATCTACACCTTAATTGAAAATAATACATAAACTTAATTGTCTTTACCGACAATCATACTCCACCATAAAGAGTATAATTATTTGAAGCTACACCACTCCAAATTTCAACATTGTCTTTACCGACAATCATAATTTTTAAAAATTATTATACTCCACCTAAAGAAGAGTATACTTTACTTGAAGCTAAACCACTTCAAGAATTTTCACATGTCGAAAACCTAGTTTAAACTTTACGGTGCAACTTTCATGTTGATAGGAAGCTCTTCAACCATTGATATAATCTCACAACACACTTTACATCAATGCCCATGTGTTTATCTTCTAGCAATAGCTTGTCCTTTTCCATGACATCGCAAATGTTATGATGACACACTTATTAATTTTTAGAGAAGATCATCACCTTCCACAACGAGGGAGACATTGCTATCATTAATCTCACAACACACTTTACATAAATTCTCATGTGTTTATCCGTTAGCAATAAATCATCATTTTCTATGACATCACAAATGTTATGAAGACACACTTATCAATTTTTAGTGAAGATTATCACCTCCCACAACGAGGGAGACATTGCTAGCATTTGACTCAGTTCATTTCTCTAACGCTGTCCCATCAGGACACTTATACTTTATATGTCCAATATTTTCAGATTTCGAACATCTCACACTTGTTTCATTGTTTTTTTTCCCACATAAGGCATTCCTTTAGCAACCAACACTGTATTTGAAAAAGTATTATCCTCACTCTTCATTCTTCTTTCTTTAGAAATAGTTTTACTATAAACTTCTTCAAAACCCAAA